CATAAGCATAAAACTCTGATACACATACTGTTATTAGCACAGTACCCAGAGTCATATTACACATTTAAAACTTCCAACTGATTTTTACATTATTGCTGTTACAGGCAGATGGGAAAGAGGTAAGCTGGGCAGAGCTCTGTGTAGCCATTAAACAGATTTAAATCTTTAACTCCCATCCTGTTTCCCCCCTTAGCCAGCACCTCCACTTTTCTAAACTCCTGAACCACAAGGTAAAATCAATCAGATCTAGAATTGGGGAGCAAGAAAACAGTGAATATATCTTAGAGATTCTGGGTACTTTTCTCTGTCTAGTTCCAAAAGGATGATCATGTGATTTGCATGCAGTGAGCTCAGTTGATGCTTCCAAGTGATCTAACCCCTTTGCCTTTTCTTTTAGCTTTAAGGATGGAGTGAAGAGCAGGGATATTTGAAATGAGGAACAGTATAGGGAAATGAGGGGCAGTATAGATTTCTACTASATTTCCTTAATTATCTGTGCATTAAAATGGAAAAGGTGATTACTTCATTAAATGAAAGGCAGAAGGAAGTTTCAGGATCATGACTTAAAACCTGACTCYAGAACAATTCTTCTCTGTCCGGTTAACATACCACAGAAGCCAGAATTCACTACTTCCTGTTGCCTCCCCTATTTCTGGTGATGCTAAGACTTGAACTAAAGATGGTTTCTACTTTGCAAAAAAGCACTCCTGTCTACTCTACAAACCATAAAACACATATAAAATTATGTCAATCCAGAATTTTCCCTCCACTCCTGCCCTGGGTACTGGGTTCCACTAAACCGAGGAGCACACAACCACTGAGCTACATTCCCAGTCCTTTTTATTTATTTATAATTTTGAGATAAGTTGTGAGACTAGTCTCAAACTTGTGATCCTTCTGCCTTAGCCTCTCGAATTGCTAGGATTACAGGTGTGTGCTACCACACCTGGCTCACGCAGTTCAGGATTCTTGTTTCCTCTGTCTCCTTTACAGTATCTAGGAGAAGGCTGAGCACATCATATCCATGAAAAAGGAAATACCTGCAAATGCTTTTATAAATTCCAAAGGACTATCTTAATTTGAAAGCATGCTGATGCTTCACACTGATTTCAAGTTTTGAGCATCAAAAATGTTCTCATGGCAGTTATTTAGAGGACAGTGTTTTCCCCAATGCTGGTGTCCTACCAGGGTTTCCATGTGGAAAAGAAGTAGCTGTTCTATTGGTCTGGTGTGCCCGTCTCCCTTCAGGAAAACTGATTTGAGGAGTACAGGCATTGGGATGATTTCTGAGTTTTTAAATGGAGATGGGCTTTTATTGGAAGATGAACTGTGTGCCACAAGATGGGTGAGCTGTACATGCCCCTCTAGGCTCAGGGTATACAACCCTGCGAAGGGGAAGGGAAACAAGGCTGGGAGATAGTGTCTCCCTTCAATCAGATGAAACTAAATACCTCAATACAGTATTTGGTGATGGTTATGTACAAAACATCTACATACAACGTGCCCTACAAAGATGGAAGGAAGGGGCTTGATCACGTTGACGAGGATGAAATGCTATACGTTTTGGGCAGATGGCAAGATTTGGTGTTGGAACAATGAAATGATTTTAGGCTTCTAATATGTATTTCCTAAGAGTCATCCTCCACACAGTTGTGAAATGTGGTGGTTGGTGACATAAACTACAAGCTCCAGGAAGTAATTTCACACTTAACCTGGGCCTGCAACAACTCTACAAAGGGCAAGGGAAGTGGAGCTGGGGAGACAGCATCTCCCTTCAATCAGTTGTCCAGATGTAGTCAAATACTTAGTTAGATATCTGACAATACACACACACACACACACACACACATACACACATATTTATATTATGCCCTCCACAGACATAAGCAAGGGATTCAATCATGCTGATGAGGATGAAAGAGTTTGCATTGTACACTTCAGGCAGATTGGGAGATGTAGTGCTGGACTAATCACCTGATTTCTAAACTCCAAAAGTTTATGTCTAAAAGTCATCTTCTACATATGCTGTGAGAGGTGTCTCAGTGATATGAACCCACAATCAAGGGGAGTGATTTTACACTTACATGAAACTACACAACTATAAAAGGGGAATGGAGGTGGGCCTGGGACACATAATCTCCCTACAATCAGTTGTCCAGGTATTACCAAATATCTCAACATAATATCTAGCAAAACACATACATATAAAAATATTTTATATACACTATGTCCCATCGTAGTGTAAGGTATTAATTGTGTCCACTATCATGAAAGAGCTTCCACTTACACACTTTGGGCAGATGGCAGATGAAGTCTTAGGCAAATTAAATGATTTGAAAGTTCCCCCAAAATGTATGTTTATCTTCAATATGTAAATGTTTGTGGAAATGTCAACTTTAAGCTATTTTTATAATACAGGAAAACAATAAGACACTATTATTAGTAATAAATATTTTATCTCATAGACTCTATGATGTCACCCAACTGTTTATAAGTTAAAAAAGAGTGCTATGGTTTTGATAATGTCCTATTAGCTTACTGTAATACTATCAACAACTGTTTATACAAAAGAAATAGCCATGATCCAATTCTGACTTTTTTTTCTTGCTTTTGCTGGGATTTGTCAACAACTGCTTTAGCCCATGGCCCATACTGTGGGGCTGCAGGGAACATTCCACAGGGTCCAAGATTTCTTAGAGGTGAAAGCAAGAAAGAGAGTAAGAAAAGGAAAAAGGCTTATTTGAGGCATGTTAGGATCTCAACACTTAAAGAGATCTGTAACCAATTCAGAGATAGGAGGAAAGATAGGTAAGGGAAATATTTTTCCTTTTGGCAACAAGGTAACCAAGAGTATGTATAAAACTCATATCCATTTCACCCGGTGGTGTGCTGATGACTTTTTACCAGCCAGCAATCTAGAGGGGGGGAAAAGTCCCAGTTTGTAACATAGCACTAACTTCCAAGGTATAACTACTCCTACCATGGCCAATCTCAAGAAGTTAATGGTGATGGTGTTGGGAAGAGTCACGTAGTAGCATACTATAGGCAGTTTTCCTATAATATARCCAACAGATGTAAGTAATCTCAAGATCATAGAAAATAGTAAAATGTAGTATTCTTGAGTATTTATTATTTTTATCTCCACCATAATTTATTTCATTTTATTTGTATGCCATTTAATTTTTAATAATGGCTCTACTGGCCCAGGAATGTAGCACAGTGGTAGAGTGCTTGCCTAGCACATGGAGGTCCTGGRTTCGATCCCCAGCACACACACACATATACACACACAAAGGATGTGCTGAACAACTAGTCTGTAAAATTATTGAAAATTTAGCAATYAGCAAGCCTGTACAAGTTGGCTCCAACATACTACACATACTACATTTAAATGCTTGAGAAGGAAGGAAAAATCTAACTGAAAGCTACCAAATAGTAGTTACTACTTTTTTTTTTTTTAGATTGATAAGGAGGTGTAGTAATAAACAAAAGGATTTTGAGAGTTCCAGAAAGGTCAGAATGTTCTAATTATTGTGCCCTCAAAAATGTAAAAAATTCTCAAGAAAATKAGATGTTTTAAAGGACTTGAGAGAAAGAGACTTAGGTACTTATAATTCAAGTACATGTCCAATTTATAAGGGATCACCTAAATAGATTCCATGTGCTTTATAAGCCAAATATTATAGTAACTGTTTTTCCATTGACTTCTTTTACTGCTACAAAGTAACTCAGGAACCCTTAGATTAAACTGACCTTCTGCCAGGATTAGCAATCTCTTTAGTTCTAGGTGTTACCTTTATAAAGCTCAGAATTATGGAGAAAAGGAGTGCTGGAGGGAGATATGAAAGGAAGGGAGGGGAGAAGACAGAAAGAGAGGGGGAATCTCCACAGCTGTGCAATGGTGTTTTGAGGCACAGTCTCAGGTTAACTGCACTAAKCGAAGAACTCCTGTCACCTGTCTCCTTACATTTACATTACACTGTTGTACTGTTACATTAAGATTAACACTATAATGCAGTCATCTCAGCTGTATTTTCACAGGCTCTGTCTTTGAGATGACAAATACCTGGAGAAGTCAYCATTCATATTTCTTCCTGATGTTTGCAAATGTCAGGATGGATCATGACACGTGGACAAAAATCTGTATAATTTACCTGAATATTCACACTTTTTCCCAGCAATCTCGTTATACTACAGATAAAGTAATAAACCCTTGTAAAATCTGTCAAACTAATGTTTTCTTGTATATCAGACAATTGATTAAGATATGATTATTTTTTTTATTTAGGAATGTATTTTTGCTTTAAAATTCTCTCTTACTAAAGTTTAAAAACTTCCTATCATGTCTGGAAAACTCTGCAACGCTTTGAAGTTATCCATTAAAGTCATGTTAAAGATTCAATTTATGTTGAGTGATCAATAAAGRCAGGTGTGCTAATTCATTTCACTACCTGTGAGTCTGATTTAAAGCTATATTTGTGGGTTAATAATCAATTTACACTTCTTTACTAATGGTGTGTTAAAGTGTCATAATGCTGTCTTTTTTTATGAAGATGATCTGCAATCATTTGGACACGTGCATTTAGTGATTTTTCTGGAATTAAGAGAGAATTTGTGCTAAATTGGTCACACTTCCTCACCCAGGGAGAAATTGGCAATACTAATTTTTCATGTGGTAAGCAGAACACTTCTGATGTATTTAGCCTAACTCAAAGCTATGCATGTAAACAGAGATAGGCCTCTATCATAATCACAGTTACAGATATGTATTATATACTAAATTCCTTTCATTGATTAAAAAAAGTTCATGTAAGAAAACAAGATAACCCAACATGAAAGTGGTTAATAAAGTCAGTCTCTAAGGTCTGTATCAGTCCACTTGTGCTAGTTGCCAGAGGTGCCCATAAGAAAGTAAAACAACTGTACATATGTAAGAATCCCAGATAAATAAGTAGGAYTCAAAAAGAATAACAAATTACTAGTTGTATGGTTAACGGAAATGAACAACCTTTGACAAAATGGTCCCACRGGGAAGGAGAAGAGTTTGTGTCGGTTTTTAGATGGCTGTGTGGTGAAAGTTCCTCTCTTCTAGTGGACGTTTACCTTCGGTCTCCTTCAACTCTCTTCTTACGAACTAGGTGAGAAAGAGAGAAAAGCTTAACAAGACAAATTGAAGAAAGAGATATTAAATTTCAGACAAACATAATTAATGTCACAAAACAGCAATCTCACATACGTGAGGATACCAATTATCTTAAACTTCAATATTTAATTGACCATGGCAATAAATGGAAATGATAAAATAATCCAGTATCTGGAGAAATTTACATTTAAATAAAGCTATGTCTGATAGTTGGGAACTTGAGTATTAAAACTTTGTCATCTTTGTAGTCCAGAAGAGACCTGTGAAACTGTGAACTTCTAAATATTTTCATGGTCACTTATCCTAGACACACCTTCTCAACTTCTGTACAACTCAACCACTGATTGGCTTTAACAAACTCCCTAGGATAATGCAATCACAGTCCATGAATTGTGACTGTGGCTTGAAGACCAGGTTTCTGCAAACAGTAATCCCATTTCTAAACCTCATCTAAGTAACTACTCTTGGATTCAGGATCACCTCTCCATTTACTTAACACCGTGTTTTGCCTGTTTTTCTGTGGTTACTATGTTGTTCAGATGTGGACCCAATGTGCTTTCCTAGATACCTTTGGAGTGCTGCCTCTAYTCTTTTTCAAAGCCCTTTGCTGGGCTGCCTGTTAGTCTTACCCTGTGAACCCCACAGGTAAGCATGGCCCTATATGCCACCTGCCTCTTGATACCATATACCTTGGCTGTGTTGCAGGGTCTTGGCTAAGCATGGGCAGGCACCTGGACACTAAGTTTTACTTGACCCTTCCTATTTTAACCTTTAGCTTCTATCTTCCCCACAATCCGAATCCTCTTTAGGACCAKAAAAACTACATTTGGAGGAACACCTTGCCCAGTTCCTCTGTCCAAGGTCTTGCATACTGTTCCTGAACCTTAAACTGGGGACTGAAACCTGCTGTCAGCTGACTCATTGCTTGCCAAGTGGACTGTCTGCTCCTAGATGTTCTTTTTCCATGTTGCTCCAGGTGGCTGGGTTGTCCCCATACTATACCTTCCCAATCTGTTCCATTCTTCTGTGCTGATTTTTTTTTTTTTTTTGTATCAGGGTTTGAATACAGAGGTAATTAACCACTGAGCCACATTCCCAGCCCTTATTTATATTTTAYTTAGAGACAGGGTCTTGCTGAGTTGCTACGGCCTTGCTAAGTTGCTGAGGCTGGCTTTGAACTTGTGATCCTCCTGCCTCAACCTCCTGAGCCACTAGGATTACAAGTGTGTGCTACTRTACATCAGGCTTCTGTGCTGTATTTAACCAGGACATGCCTCACCTCTTCCTAACAGAAGAAATGTTATGCATCTTCAACAAAATTAAAGACAAGCTAACTGAAAAAGCTACTTCCGAGTTTAACTGTCATAATTACCTCTATTAGTTTATTTCGAATGTAAAGTACMGAAATATCAGACATACCTATATCACATATAAATATGTGAAGAAAGAATAATCATAAGTAGTGAGAAGTCAATCATAAGTAGTGAGAACTTCTATGTCCTTGTGTCGATTTTTGGATACAGATAACAGAGCTTAATCCATAAGTAAGAAGTAGGTAAAGGAAAAAGAAAAAAAAAAAGTAAAAAAGAAGAAATTAAAGGAAAGCCATAGAAACAAAGGAAATGAAGCAAGAGTCAAAATCAGTTTGGAAAAAAGAACAAACAGCTCTTTTTGAAAGAATGCTATGTTGACACTTTAACACTCCAGGGGCTTCGAGGATGTCTAAGACCATGTAACCATGTGCCTTGGGTGAAGAAGTAAGTGACACCAAGGCCAATGGGATGGTATCTGTGACAGGGGSCATCAGAGGTGGAAAAGTGAATGTTCAGCAGGATCTTCCTACTGTCAYCAGTGCATATCACAGCTGCATTACCCAGGTCATTATTCTTTGTGATGGCAGCTGCCACTCTTGTCCGTGGCCCTTGCTTGGTAAACTGGTATCCAAACTTGAGGATCCTTGAATTTTCTTCCAGCATCTGRGCAATTTCCATCTCTACAGCTGTTCCCAACTGCTGCCTCTGGTTGCAGGTGCATACACACACACACATATAGGATGACCAAAAAGGAAAAGGAAATTGTTAATGCACAGGAAAGATATGTGGCTACTTGAACAAAAATTCTAAGAAACCAAAGTCTCAAATTCAAAAGGGACRGTGTCACTGGAGATGTGTCCTCCCATATAGTCATTTGAGTCCTGCTCCTTGACTAGAAGAAAAATCCAGACAGATGAATCTGCTGGTGTCCTAAGGTGAAAAAAAAAATTAAACAACCATTTATGAAGAAACAGGTGATTCAAGAGGTACAGTTAAAGTAAAACTAATATTTGAGGCTTCTAAGTCATCCCAGTATCAAAAGAATTTAAACATTTTTTTTTTTTTTTTGCTGTTGCAAAGGCCTGTGAATGCTAGGTAAGCACTATAGCACTGAGATACAACTGTATTTTGTTTAGAGACAGGGTCTTGCTAAGTTGACCAGTCTGGCCTTGACCTTGTCATCCTTCTGCATAAGCCTCTTGAGCAACTGGAATTATACCTGACCACTGTTTTTTCTTCTTCTTTGTGAAACTGTCTTACAGCAATCAATTCAATTGCTGTATTTTCTATTCTAGGATCTATATCCAAAAATCATTAAAGTTCAACAACCAATCTGCCATTCTCTCAAAAGTTTCAGTTGGAGATCCCAAAGGGGCTTTACTGAGATAACTCAGATGAATTATCAAACACTGAAGTTACTGKGCTACAGAAAAATCTCCAAGAAAACTTGGTAGGAAGAGGGGTATTTCTTTGTTTGTTTTTAAGTGGAGACATAGAATATTGAAAAAGCACAGAAGGTTTTTTTTTTWAATTGGAGCATGTGGATATAGAAATTAAAAATTAAATTTAAGGAATATAGTATATATTTTTTCACAATATAATCATTAAACTTAAAAAAAATGAAAAGTACAGGTTTGTTCAGAAAAAGCAAACAAGAAGTATATGAAAACCACTTTCCGTAACTGGCTCCTTCCACACGTGTAGTCTTCTCAACATTTTCTGTGCATTTATATATCCACACACAGGTACATCCATGCTTTTATTCCCACATAAGTCAATTAGGGTAGTTTATGTTTCTGAAACATGTGTTTATTTTCCATTCAACATTAATCTTTTCATGTTGGTAAATAAACATTTACCTCACCCTTATAAAGAGAGCTGCACAGCATTCCACTGYAGGGATGGGTCAATGAGCTAGCCAGGCCCCCACTGACTGAAGGTCATCGTGCCTTCCACTCCCACTGTTACAAGCAACACTGCTGTGAACTTCCCTGTGCACACAGTATATCTGGAGGTATTTCTGCAACTCTGTCTGTAGGGCAAGTTATAGCTGGGTCCAAGGGTAAGCATATTTCAAATTCTGATATATTACTGAATTATYCTCAAAGGTTATGATAATTTTTATTYCTGCCAACAGTACATGAAAGTTACTGGTTTTCCTCTCTTAGCCAAATTATCCATTTTTAAAAACCTTGACCAATTTGGTGAAAAATTATACTTAACTTTCCCCCCCCCTTTTTTTTTTTGGTATGAGGGCTTGAACCCAGGGGCACTTTACCACTGAGCTACATCTTCATACCTTTATATTTTCAGACAGGGTCTTGCTAAGTTGCTTAGGACCTCATTAWATTGCTGAGGCTGGCTTTGAACTTGTGATCCTCCTGCCTCAGCCTCCCAATCACTGAAGTGACTGGGATTACAGGTGTGTGCCACCATATCCAGCCTACTTGCATTTCTCAACTTTAATTTACATTTCTTGAATTATGAATAAGAACAATCATTTTCTTATRCATTTGTATTTCTCTTTTTGGAGGAACTACCCATATATGTCACTTGCCCATTTTGCTGCTGACTTTTTTTTTTTAAAGTGACACATAAGTTTCTCATATATTAGGAAATTAGTCCTTTTTCAAATGTACTRGAAACACATTATTTGGTTTGTCTTTCGATTTTCCTTTTGATTACTATAAAACCTTTTTTCTATTTTCACGATTGAATTTATCAGCCTCCAGATTTTGTCATATTCTTTCTATTCCTCCTAATTTCTTCTATTTGTTTTATGATTTCATATATTTTAATATTTATTTCATTCTAAATTAATTTTGGTATAAGATTGAAGAGACCCAACTTTATTTTGTTCCAGCGGGTGCTTCCATCTTTTTCTTCATTCTTCCCTGATTTGAAATACTGACACGTGACTGCAAAAATTTCAGTTGTACTCAATTTCTGGAATCTATTCTATTGCTTTGCCATTATAATATATTTAAAAAATATATACCTTTTAAATTTGGGAGATGTAAGTATGAATTGGATGAAGGAGAAAAGTTAATGGGAGAACTTCTGAGTCCAGACAAATTTTGGGGGGTATTGGGGAGTGAACCTAGGGTTGTTCCACCACTAAGCTACACCCCAAACTCTTTTTATTTATTTATTTTTTTAAATTTATTTTGAGGCAGGGTCTCATCAAGTTGCCAAGGCCAGCCCCAAACTTTTAATCCTCATGCCTGGTTTCAATCCCCAGTACCAAAAAAAAAAGAGAGAGAGAGAGAGAAAGAGAGAGAGAGAGAGAGAGAGAGAGAGAGAGAGAGAGAGAGACACACAAACACTGACCTCTAAATTTCAGGAGAACCTCAGCTCATAACACGGGTTAGGATTGGATTCTATCAAGGATTAATGCCTGCCTCACTGGAACTATAGGCATGCACTACCTTACCCAGTACTTAATTTGAAGTCTTTTGTGTTACATTATCCCAGAACAGAAAATGGGCATCAAAATTTCTTAAAACATGGATATTTTTCTTTTCATAGTTTATCACTAAATACAAAGAAAAAAAATGAAAGTTTGTGCATACATGTTTTCAAAATACTTTTTTAGCTGTTACCCATCTGTTTMTTCAATATGCACCACTGTTTGTTCTTCTCAGTGGGAGCACATGACTAGATGATTATGTATTTACCTGGAGCCTAGCCACAGCAGCCCTCCCTAGAGGAGGGTTCTCAGCAGGCCTCATTTTTGTGCAGCTGCCTTTTGCTGTGATGCTAAATTGATCTCAGTTGCTAGTTCTCCTTAGGAAACTGAGACATTATTATTTAAAAATTTTTTGTAGTTGTAGATGGACAGAATGTCTTTATTTTACTTGTTTATTTTTATGTGGTGCTAAGAATCGAACTCAGTGCCTCACACATGCTAGGCAAGTGTTCTGCCACTGAGCTACAGCTCCAGSCCTTAGAAATTTTATTTYAAATCCAAAAACTTATTTCATATCCTTCATGAGGAGAAAACTGAGGTTACTTCTAAAAGTCCATGAGTCAATGAACARAATTTAGACAAGTTTTGACTCTAAATTTCCTTATTCTTCTAGTAAAGCAAATAATTTTTCCAGTTCCTCGAGGAAATCTTAATTCTCCTTCTTGTCACAAACATAAAAAGAAGCCATTTAAACCAGGCATTAGAGGCTGAAGCAGGAGGATTGYAAGTTCAAGGCCAACCTTAACAACTTAGCCAGATCTGYCTCAAAATAAAAAGGGCTGGGGGAAAAGCTCAATGGTAAAGTGCTGCTGGATTCAATCCCTAGTACCTAGGATAAGAAACAGAGAGGTAGATAGAGGGAGATGAGTGAAGAGAAGGGAGAGAGGGGAAACATTTCAGAAGCACAATGGAGGGCTAAAGATGAAGAATTGCTCAAACACATTCCTGGATGGCTGGGGAGAGGTAATGAGGCTGAGTTAGAGGGAATTAAGAGACAAGGTTCAGAATTCATATTTCAAGGTCTTCTTCTCCCCTCAACCTCCACCTTGAAGGTACTAGGGACTGAACCTGGAGCCTTTTATATGCTAGGCAAGTGCTCTATCACTGAATTATATCTCTACCCCTGTTAAAATTTTTTATTTTGAGGCAGGGTCTTCCAAAATTGCCCAGCTGGCCTCCAATTTGTAATCCTTCCTCAGACTTCCAAGCAGCTGAGATTATAGTTGTGGGTTACTATGTCCAGTGTCAGGGTCTTCTTAAGCATTAGAAAAACCCTTCAAATTTTCAGGATTCCAGCTCATCCACTAGGGGTAGTATTGTGAGATTTAGCAAATGAAAATACAAGACAATGGCTAAATATGATTTTCAGATAATGAATAACATTTTATTAGGAAGATGTCTCAAATATTTCCTKGATAATCCTTTTACTAGAAATTATATATTATGTACCTGAAAGTCAAATTGAATTGTATTTTATGTAGTAACCTTAACTAGGTGGTATCATGCCAGAAACTAGGAACAGAGTATGACATTATTACAGATATAGGGTTTCACAGTGTCCTAAACCAGGACAGAAAGTTAAATATACTTTGRAACAAGGTATCTATCTCTGTGTTACATCCTGTGGAAATACTTCCTAAGAGCCTACTTCTTCCTGATATGAGTCTATTCCACAAATATCCCTGAGTTATCACTTCTTTTCACTCACTTCACATTTCTGTTTCTGTAGTTTCCCAGTTCTGGATGCTTTTTCTTAATTTATTAGCAGCTGGACACACATGAGGATATACAGCACTGAGCTTCCTTTGGATGTGTGGGGCCATGTGTGGCACATTTCCAGGATGCTCTCAAGCCACACCTCTGCGTTTAGGAGAGTGGTTTTGGTGGGGCATCCCTTCTAGGAGGGCAGGAGCCAAGAAGCTGCTATCTCTTGGTGATTGCCCTGATCCCCTGGCAATAGGCCTCAGGAGGAATCCAGAGTCAGAGGGTCTGCACTGAAACAACGTGCTTGACCCAGTTAGCAAAGACAGAGAGTAAAGCTTTCATGAGAACTGACAGGGGTCTCCAGGCTTAGGCAATAGTCTTGGGTGATCACTTAGATTCACTGAATCCCCATCGCAGACACTTCCCTTTGGCCAAAGGACCAGGGCACAGCATCAAGCCTGAGAGCTGAGGGTTGCTACCTGCAAGCAAGAGTAAGCTGAGCCAGCAGAGCCAACTTAAAGGCCTGTAGGCT